AATTCCCCGCTTTATTTTGGGGTGGGGAGTGGACCATGCCAACAAGGTTTACTCTGAGTTTTTTTTTTAAATGCTTTCATTGTGCCTTTATTGCAGCTAACATGACTTGACCTTGCAATATTTCAACTCTGAACAAGTCTTTGTCAAGTGATGACCGACAAGACTAAATTCATGAAATACATTGTTCTAAAGCATTGTAGTTCTTAAACATATAACTATTGCAAGACTTTCTAAGTTTGTGTTGCCTCTATAGTAGTAAGTCCGAGGAGATAATGTCCACTTGTGAACTGTCTATCCTTGAAATATTGTAATGAGATCTAAAGCCAACTCTGTTCTCAATTGCAGGAAAAAAGGTCCTTTATTGGGCAGTTTGGAGACCATCTATCTTTGTGGACTGATACCCCTGGAGATATTCTGTGAGATCGTATTCCCACTTACCTCCTGGCAACAGAAACTTCCTTTTTTCCCACTACTTTTAACCTCCGTCTACTGCGCTGTGGGAGTAAGCTACGCGTGGCTCAGACTTTATATTTCCCAATTTGCAGAATTAACTCCAGCCAAAAAGAAGAATTTATGAAGAACTTGCCATTATTTTGAAAAAAATCACGTTCATTTAAAAAAAAAAACCAAAAAAAAACTGTAAAACTATTATATTTTTATATCCAGTGAACAGATAAATCATGGTAGTGTGTTTTGGTTTTTTTTTCCCTGTTTCTTTCGGAGATTGGTATTTATGGACAACTATTCACATCTTTACAGTAGTTCATTCCTTTTGGTGTTGTATGCGGGATCTTCTTTTATATATAAAGACTGATGTTTCACAGCTATTGTTTTTAATTCTTCAATCCTGGTTAAGATTATATGTCCCTTTAATATCAACTCTAGTCTTCACGTATGGTAAAAACAAGTTATTTCCAATGTTTTCAAGTAAATCCAAAAAAAAAACCAAAACCCTCCTAGTTGTCGAATTAATAAAGGTTGACTAGCAAAGAAAGTATAACAGACTTTTACAAAATACATGAGCCTGATCGCAAATCCAAGGTAAGACAGCTACTATTAAAAACACAAGAAAGGTTTGTGTTGACCCACTATCTGTTTTTTGGTATAATGCATTACAAACATACATAGAAACTTCCTACACTTGTTTCTGTGTTTGCAACTTCTGCAGTGAGCTCCCATCAAACCTGTAAATCTGTCATGTGAAATTTAACAGTTATAGAGGATGTGTATGACACTGCGAGAGAAGATGAGTGTGACAGGATTATGGGCTTAATTTTATTGGGTGACTGTGGCAGAGCGAGTGCATGTAAGTTTGTTATGGTTGAAGGGGTTGAGAGTTACAGGATTAGGAGGAGTTAATGTGGCTCGAGGACAGTGTGGCATGGGGTGTGTGTGAGGGAGGGTGACTGTGTGGGGGGGCAATGGATGGGAGTGTGGTGTTTCAGGTGATCTAAAAAAAGACACTGCAAGCTATTAGTGCAGTAGCAGCCATGTTTCAGGAGATACAGGAAACATGTGCAATAGAGAATAAAACAGCGTTAGTTGCGTGTAAACCAAACATAACACCCATAACATCTCCCTCTTTTGGTATTAATAAATCAACATTGTGAAATGTGGAGTCCAAATCGCTGTCCTTGTAATAACATTCTAGAGGTTAAGTCTCTCAGGTGGTTGTGAATGTCTGCCACTACAATTGAAGACTGGTCCAGGTTGTACAAAGTTTTTTTTAGCCCTCTCTGGAGTTACTAGACATTTCCACCACTTGCTGGCATGCTTTTAACTGGACTGCTGAGAGGTCCTGCTTGCTCAGGATTGTCATTTAGTACTAGTCTGTGGTATCACTTCTGTACACTTGTTTCTGCTGGCATGTGAGTGTGTCCTTGTAATACCAGGTGTGTCTTGCTTGTCAACTGGATATTGTGAATCTGGCTTCTCGGCCACTTGCAAATCCACACGATTGTGTCGGTAGAGAGTTCCTTTGATATCCACAAGATTAGAGCATGGTACAACCTTTTGCAGACATGTTCCCATTCTCCAGCGACTTGTTCAACCTCCAGGAAGTGGTTTCATACGGATTTGTTTCCCAAGATTCAGTTCAGGTAAATCCCTAGCATATGAGTCATATCTTGCCTTTAACACTCGCCTCTTAAGTTGTAACTTTTCTGGTACACCTTGCATCACAGAGGGTTCAAGTAGCTTGCTGGCTACTGGTAAGAAGGCCTATAATCTCTTTGACATCAGTCTCTGTGCCTGACTACTATCCATACCCTCAGTTGGAGAGTTTCTCCAATGTAAGATGGCTTTCCACAGGTCTTTACCATCACTTTTAGTTTTTTTGCATAATGTCTTCACTCTTTTCACAGCGGATTCAGCTTTGCCATTAGCTTGTGGATGACGTGGTGAAAGTCACTTGCTCAAACTCCCATTCAGTAGCAAATTTCCTGAACAGTAAGCTTGCAAACTGAGGACCATTATCAGAAATCACTTTAGCTGGTTGGCCATGACGTGCATCGCTTAATTGTAGTTTCAGTGGACAGGTCAATTTCCCAGAAGTCTCAGTAATGATCGACTAAGAGCAGGTACTGTTTTCCAGCATAGTTGAATAAGTCCATGTTGACAATTTGCCAAGGACAAGTAGGTATCTCATGTGTCATCATGGTTGCAAGTGTGCATATTCATTGCAAGTAGGAAAACTGCTGACAGTCTTTGATTTCACCTTGCATGTTGGCCCAGTAAAGTATATCACAAGCTTGTCTGTAGCAAACCTCACCTCCGATGTGGCTTGAGTGTATGCGCAATAACATCTCTGCTCTCAGTGACTTCGGCACTATGACCCTTGGACCTTTGTACAAGATACCATTTTGTATGCTGATCTCATCTCTGAAGGACCAATATTCCTTCACAATGGCAGGTGCTGCATCCTTTTCATCTGGTCACCCTATCTGGACTATAGACTTCAGTGCTTGCAAAGTTGCATCACTTTCCGTGTGCTGTATGAGCTGATGTAGCCGCTGATCTGCGACATTAAGATAGTCTGCTTGTTTGACTTTGGCAAAGAAATTCTGTGCCTACTGCAGCAAACAAACTGCAAGATGCTTATGCTTACCTCCAGCTGCCACGTGTTCCGTTGTAGCTCTGCTTAGGGTGTCACTGATGTACATTTCACATCCTGGCTTGTATACAACATTGAGATTGCAATGTAAGCATCATGCTCTGCAAACGCACATAAAAGTGGCTTCTTGAATATGGCTGTTAGCTGTTTGTGATCAGTTTCAGCTATGATTGCATCCCGGCCATAGAGATAATGATGGAAATGCTGATGGGCAAAAACAACGCTTAAAACATTCCTTTTCAATTTGAGCATAATTTTGCTCACATGAAGAGAGTGCTCTGGACGAAAATGCAACTGAATAACCTTCTTGCGATAGACAAAATCCTAGGCCATTTTTGCTCGAATCTTTGTATTACAAAAGGCTTTTTGACATAATATTTTAGCACCGGGGCAGCTGTGATCAAGCGTTTATTTCCTCCACTGCCTGGTCATGCTTGGGAAGCCAATGCCAAACTCCACCTTTATTTAGAAGCCTTCTCAATGGCTCACACACCTCAGACAAATGCGGCACAAATTTTGATAGGTATGTGACAAAGCCAATAAAACACTGCACTGCTTTGGTGTCGCCAGGCCGTGCCATGTCCAAAATGGCTCTAATCTTATCTGGGTTAGCTTTCAAACCTTGTTGAGACAGGATATGTCCATGGAAGCAGACTTCTTGTACCTTGAATTGTAATTTCTTTACGCTAAGTCTCAGCATTACCTGCCTGCAGCGATCCAATAATGCTACTAACTTCTCATTAGGGTCATGCTCAGCTTCCTCATCTGTATTACCACAGCCAATTATAAGAGTTTCATCTGCTATTGGTTCAATTCTGTGGAGCCCACTTAAAAGTTAATGCTGTTTTCGTTTATATACTTCTGGGGCTACAGAGACTCCAAATGACAGCTTGAGACAACTCTTTTGGCCCCAGGAAGTCCAGAAGGTGGTCATGTAGCAACTCTTTTCATACAGTTTGCACTGTAGAAAGGCATCTCTTGCATCAACAAGTGTAAAAACCTGTGCTTTTGTCAGTGTGGCATTATGTAGTGTGACCTTCTCAGGACCATGTTAAGAAACTTTGGATCAATGCAAATTCTAATCTTTTTAAGTTTCCTAATAACTACCATGTTGCTTGGTAGTTGGCTCTGATACAGATGTAAGATGTCCGTCAGCTTCATACTTATCCAGTTGCGCTTTTACTTGTGGCTTAATGGCTATTGGCACATTGCGTGGTGCACATTGTACTGGTGGAATGGTAGGATCCAGTTCAAAATGAACCACTCCTTGAACAGATACTACTGGGCCAGTAAACACATCATTATAGACATTGAGGATTTGCAGTTGTCAGTGGCCTGGTCAATGGGTTTCCAAGCTGATTATCAACATTGTGCAGCTCAGCAGGAATTGTGTATTGCATTAGTCCCAGCCACTCACATGATGAACCAGACAACAGCAGTTTCTGATTGGCTTAAACAATCTCAAATTCAAGTTTATGTATATTTTCACGTATGCTTCAGTCTGTTTGGAAAAGTCCCAATGATTCCATTAGTTCACCTGAATATAGCTTCAGCTAGGTGCTGCTAGGCTGAGGTGGTGCCCTAGGTGCCAGTTTCATCTTGTCTTTCAAACTCATGACATCACATTTTGCACCAGAATCCAGCTGGCAGGGTTGGCATATATTATTCAGTCTGAGATTTACAAACCATTTTTTGCCCTTAGACTTTACAGCACCAATGCTGAGTAAATCACATCAGTGCTACGCAGGTGTGCATCTTCAGAATCAGACATTTGTTCAATTGTGTTTAGCTTCCTAAGACAGTGAAAGGGTTAATGTTGTAATGGACTCTAATCCCCTCGGTTCTCGATCCCTCGGTCACCATAATCAATGTTGATGGAGAATCATTTGTAAGCAATAACACACGGACAACAGCTTTACAAGACTCTCAAATGAGTGTATTCCAGAGCTGGCTTTTATACATAGTTTGCTTACATTAGCCATGGTATATGCAAATACAGTACAGACTATAAGATTTATTACTTCCTTATATTACGTTATTCTGACAATGGAAAGATAAGCTTTTGCATACGTCTGGAAAAGAATATCCTTAAAATCGGAATGGGCAAGACATCCTGAAATTTAGCATTGTCTTACATCCTATAGAAGAAATACCTTAGTCTGTCACAGTCAGCATATTATGTCGTACATTGACTTTTAAGTATTCAATATTCCTTCAGTCAGCAATAATCATGTTATAAACCTTATAAAAGCATAAAATACATATAAACAAGTTAACTATTTAATATTCTTACATTCCCCTCTTTGAGCAATAAAACAATTGCTCATCTTATCGATAAAATCTTACCAGGACAGAGAAACTTCCACATGGTATTTTCAGGGGTGCTAGTCACTCCCTGCGGGACTTTCATTAATTTCTTCACCTCGATTCCCATGTGGTAATTCCTAAGGCCCAGTTTAAAGATGGGTTGATACTCTCCAGTGGCAGAGAGGAGAATTTCGAATTGTTTCTGTTCTGCATTATGGATTCATTTCTGTACTCTCTTCCTCAATGTACAAGTAAGGTGACAGTTATATAAAATCATACACAATAAAATCAGGACTATAATAACAAAAGGATAGAAGAATGATTTCATTATCTGAGATCCAGTAGGGGACCAACCAGTAAAGCATTGTACCAATCATGGGCTAAATCATTCTGAATTTGTGAACTCACCTTAAGGAGTTCTCCTTTTAGGATATGTGTGGCTACCTGTGTGTGTTATCTTTGGGAAAAATATAGTCCCCTGTGTATGTGGGTGCCCACCAGGTTAAATTCTTGGCAAAAAGATCATAAACTGGTACTGGTAATGTGTTAAATTGACAAGCTAATTTAACATCCTTTGATGATGTATGATATAATGTAAAATAACATGAGCATGAAAAATGTGAAACATTACCAGTTAACCATCCATTGCATTTACTGGATTGGGGTTTTAGAAGTAACCATTCATTATCTGTGAGGTTACGCATTCCTCTAATCTTCTCTAGTTTGGGAATCATTAGTGTGTTTTCTAATGCCAATCCTTGTTGTTGTATCCATAAATACCTGATGGCACAAGTACTCCAGTTACTTAGACCTGTAGTGAATTTCATAGTTGCAACAGTTAAATTACCTAAATTGTTATACATTGATTTATCTAAATCCAATCCTGTTACCTGTGATTTAACAACAGTTGGAGCCCAGTTTGCAGTAGCATGAAAACCAGTCCCTATATGCATGCTGGCTGTGTTTAACTTATTCTTGAGGGTCTCCATATCTATAACTATTTAGTATACCCATAGTGGTTCCAGCACCATCTAACAGTGTGTCATACCATTCCCTTTTCTGCCTTTTGTTTGTTGTGTTACATAATGTTACAACAAGAGTAGTGATTTTTAATGACACATGTACAGCTTGTAAGAAGGCAGTTGTATTAACACATGTGGATGGAATAGGTGTGTGTGTGTCGTGGTTGACTTTTGGTTCTATGATAGTGGATGAAGGACAGTAATAAGGTGTAAAAATATAAGGTAGTGTATAGTTCTCAATTGTAGTGTCGTTCATAATGACTAACATTTGTCCCCTTCTCCAATTAATGATACCAGTTATATAATCATTATTAAAAGTAATAAGGCCTGTCTGTTTACATTGATATGCAACCTTAACTGTGCACATTTCTGCGTTATAAGATCTAACAATTTTCTGTGAACCTTTAAACAAACATAATGCATCGGTTTCATTAGCTGTAGACACATTTCATATGGGTAACTGGTACTTATAAGGGTTACTATTTGTCCAATTCATCCAGATGCGTTCAGTAAATGAATGATTGCATATTACATGCTGATAGAAAGGTGGTGGAGAAAGGTTCTTGAGGGGGCGTGTGTGACGAATGCTAGATGAGGGGCTAAGGCCTAATTGGGCTGGGGTATTGAAGAATTGTTCATCATGTCAGAGTCTTTTTCCAGAACTTGCCATTGACTTGTACTCATAATGGCATTCAAGGAACAATATCAGAGGGAGTATAACAACTCCAGAAAGCATAGCACACAACATAATCTTGGTCTCAGGTACGTATGATCCTCTCAATCTACGATATGGTGTAAAAGCCATGATGCTTCGCTGAGGAGAAATTCTTCTGTTTCCGAGCGAGGAGTGGTGTTGTCTTCCTTGGTTCCCCTCTTTGGACACAGCTTCACTCGGGATGCGTGAATCCAGATGTCATGGGAATCTGTGAGGACAGCGGTTCTGGGTACAGCAATCACAGTAGCAGGTGGTCCAAAAGGGTATCCTCCTTTCTTGGTCCTGTTCAGCTGACGGATATACACCTTGTCACCGGGCTGGTATGAATGAGTAGGTTCCTGTGAAGGTAAGGGAAAACTGCGAAGAAACATTGTCATACATACCATTCAGTTTTATCAACAACTCCTGTACATATTGTTCTTGTATTAGCTGTAAATCCCCAGACATTATAACAAGCAGTTCCCTGGCCTAGGGTGTGGGAAAAGGTCATCCCATCAAAATCTCAAATGGAGATAATTTAGTCACCTTGTGGGGATTCATTCTTATCTCAGCTAAAATAGTTGGTAGATATCTAGTCCAATTTACCCATGTTCCTGGGTAAATTCTGGGCTTTTCCTTAATAGTCCTATTCATCCTTTCAACTACCCCTGTATTCTGTGGATGATAGGGCATATGAAACTGCCAGGTAACTTGCAAGAATTTAGCAAGTTCCTGGGCAACCCCACTTGCAAAAACCGGGCCATTATCAGAGCCAATCTGCAGAGGGCAGCAATACCGGGGAATAATTTCAGTAACAATAATCTTCACTAGCATCTTCCCTAGATGTCACAAAGGCCTCATGCCATCTACTAAACTGATTAACTATGACCAGTAAGTATTGCTGTTTCTTACCAATTTTGGATACATGAATAAAATCAATCTGTAAGTGTGTAAAAAGAGCAGCGTTCACACGATCTTACAAAAGACTGTACATGCTGCCTGAGATTCCTAATATAAAATGAATTCATGAGGAATTGAATGGTGCTTGCTATGTGCCTGACTGATGAAAATAAATCAGCTTGCTTCAAGTATGCCTATTCTTCAAGTATGCCTATTCTCCCCTCTTTAGAGAACAGATCATTCTGATCTTTCTCTAAACCTTGTTTAATCCAAAAGACAGATTCTGGGTATTTAAAAAAAAGAATCTCATAACCACTGAAGCGCTGGGCTGTCATGTGTTGTGTGGTGAGATTTGTCATCAGCTGAGTGACCTGGTGACTGGCATGAAGTATTGTAGGATGCCCTAGTGTGATAGTAGTAGCAGTTTCAACAGCCATTGCACATGCTATCAATGCTCTGAGACACGCCGGCATACCCTGTACCGGAGCTCGAACTACTTTGGAAAAGAATGCTATGGGACGCATACCGCCTCCTTGCTCTTGTGCACAGACTGCGGCCATGGTTTTACAATTGTCCCAAGCATACAAATGAAATGGTTTACAACACACAGGTAGTCCTAAAGCCTGGGCTTGCACAATAACAACTGTAAGGGCAATATATGCAGCTAGCATGTCTGGTGACCAGCAGACATTTTCAGGGCTGTCAGAACGTACAGCCTCCCTTAGGATTGAGTTATAATGGGAGCATTCAGGGATCTATTGGTGGCAGTAATTAATCATGCCGAGGAAGGTGAGCAACTCCTTCCGAGTAGTGGGTGTTGGAATCCTCTGAATGACCTCAATACGTTTTGGACTCAATTGTCTGGTGCCTAAAGCCAGAACAAAACCTAAGTATTCAACCTTTGATTTACACAATTGCATTTTGTGTTTAACAACCTTGTGACCTACAGTTGCTGACAGTATCCACAGTGCTTGCCTCATAGCTAGGGTTACATAACAACAAATCATCAACATTTTGCAAAAAGGACGGAACCATGACCGGTGGTCCATGTTTTTTTAGAGTATGTTAGAGTACCAACGAATAAACAGCTGGGGAATCCACATAGCCTTGGGTAAGCGTGTCCAGGTAAACTGACAGCCTTCAAAAAGTAAAAACCATAAGTAGCTGTGTCTCTTGATCAATAGGTATAGAAAAAATGCATTACTTAAATCAATGACAGTGAAGCAAGTGGCATCATGTGGAATGGCTGTAATGAGGGATGTCACATCAGGGACAATGGGTGAAATGGGCACAATTAAACTATTCAGGGCTCTAAAGTCCTGAACTAAGCGATATGCTGGCCAGTGGTGTTGGGAGTGGATCTGGTGTTGTTCTTGCCTACCGGGCATATTTTGAGAAAGGTGGGGTTGTTGGGGTGTGTGGGGTTTCCTGGGGTTTCCTGGGATGTGGACACTCATTCCTCCAGTGGCCATATTGTCCACAGTTGAAACAAGTGTTCCTGTCTATTCCTCCTTGGTTACCCCTGCCCCTATAACCCTGATTTCCCTGTCTCCATCCCCTTGCCCCTCTTTGACCACCCCTTCCACGGGCTTTATGTGCTCCATCCCATCCTCGCTCTCAGCCTGTGTAGCTGGACATAATATGTTGCAATCCCTGAGCATAATGAGCAACCTTACTTTCCTAAATCTTTTCTTAATTCAAAACAACCTGCATTTCCTTTTCTATAACCTTGGTAAGAAACTCTGAGCTATCCAAATTGGCCCAGTCTGATCAATTGTTTCACAAGCAAATAATACTGTGGCAACATATTACCAAGGCATGACTGTATTTTAAAGAGATCTATATCATCTCCAGACATCAAACCTGCCTCATCCTTCCAACACTTGTAAAATTTCTTTACAAAAATCATATTACCAATCTCTTCCTTTGCATCTTGCTTATATGCCAAAGCAGTGAATATAGACTGCTTATTCTTCCATAATCCCAACATTTCAGCTTCCACCTTGTTCCAAATTTTAGCACATCTTACTGAAGTACTAAACTCATAATCACCAATTCATTTCAAACCATATAACTCATACTCAGCATCCAATGTAATATTACACGTCATCTCACAAAACAATATCTTTGTAGAAACACATAATGGGTACCCAGCAGATATGCCAATACAGAAATGACATTTATGGGCACACAACTACACACTCTGTCTCCCTCCTAGGAAACACGGATAGACACAATATAAAAGCAATCTTAAACTAACACCTCCAAATCTCCAACTATTCTTGGCCAAAACGCTAGTATTCAACAACTAATAAAACAATTATTTGCTAGGTTATTTGGCTGTCATTCTTATCAGTATCACTAGACTGTGACAAACTGATTCACATATAATTTAAAACAATACAGCAACATATAAATTAAACTACTTTCAAGTTAAACTGCACACTTATCACACATTATCACAGTCACCATTTACACAGAATAAACAGTTAACAGCTGTATTCAGAACATATTATTGGAAAGTATACCAATTTTAGTTTAGATTTATTTTAGGGATTCTTATGTGTACATTTTCTTAATTAACTTCATTACTTTAATCTACTATAGTATTGTATTTAAAGAAAGGATCCATTTATATAGCGCACTCATAACTCAACTATTTGTATAAAACTACCATTAACTAATCTGAGATGATGCTGCATCAACTTAAATCCTATAGAAATTGAACAAACATCTGGACCAGATTAAACAGACATGGTTTCACCTGAATCTTTCAGAACTCTCAGAGACTTAAAAATTTATACTATACCATGTTTTAAAGGCATGGCAAACCTTTAGACCGGTCAGTCTCCAAGAGCCCTTAGTAACACAGGTAAAAACCTTTGTCCATGATTTCTGATTCAGGCTATATACCACAATTTAAAAGAACACATAATGTGAGACATAGAAGACACAAGCAGTAGTTATTACACTGGATCATTTAAAAGGAACCTGTTGCAATAAAAAGGTTAGTTTACAGTGCAAAATAAAGCATGTGTTGGACCGCTGAAAAATGTAAATGTTGCTCTGTTATTTTCAAACATAAAATTATATTTACAGTATGGATCCTCTGCAACAAACACACAGGGCAGGGAAGATGTGCTGATTGGTGTTTCTATACAATTAATCCCATATGGGGAATTAACTTTCAAATACTAATGAAGTGACTTTTTGTCTCAGTTATAAAATATACTGAGCTCATCATGCAAACAATGCAACACATTTACACTATCCCACTCTCATAATAAGTGTAGTGGGCTTATAGTATTTTTAAAGCAACAATCATTCCAGGCACACAGTTCCCATGTGAAATAACTTACAATAAAACAGAGTAATAAACTTATACTTCTATGCGACAGAAAGAATAAAGCAAAAAGATTTAAGTAGGTCTATCAGGTACAACCTGTGAGTCATTTCTTTTCTAATATACAGTACTGCTATCTTGCAGAAAGATAAGTCCTACGCTCACTCCCATCACTACTGGACAGCAGCAAGGACTACAGTACACATCAGCCCCAATATATGGTAAAAACCAAAGAAAAACAAGTTACCTGCGTTCTCTCCTTAATCCCTATGTATTTTTAAAACCTCCATTTGTTTAAAAGTACTGCTATCTTATATATACACATATACATATACACACACATATATACATATACACATATATACATATACACACACATATATACATACATATATTGGTCACTCAGGACATGAACTCACATTTCCCATACTGCTGATTCAGAGTGGGGACACTACTAACTTACCAAAGTGTGTCCCCAATATAGACAAACAATCACCCACAAAAAACACTTAAGACAAACAAAGGTGACCGGGAGAAAGAGAAGTTTGGGTTATACTTATAGATCTACAAACCGTGCTGCTCAGAACACCTATAGACTTAATAAACCGGAGACCTCTTATGGTCTCAAAAACCTGTATCTACCTGAGATACCCTGTATCTATCTTAGATACTAACCTGGGTTACCAAAACCCTATAATAAGCCGGAGACCTCTTATGGTCTCAAAAACCTGTATCTATCTTAGATACTAACCTGGGTTACCAAGAACCCCTATATATATTTAGACCAAATGTCTAATAAACCGGAGACCTCTTATAGTCTCAATATAAACCGGAGACCTCTCATGGTCTCAATATAACTAGAGTCCTTACACCTTTCCTATCTACTGGATACAGTCTTACTAAACCAAAGGGGGGTCATAGACAATCAGCGTCAATAAGACACAAAAAGGCTACTCACCTCAATGGTTTTGCTGATCCCACTTCTATCTATCCCACTTCTGACACCAAGCTGAAAGGGTTAATGCTGTAATGGACTCAAATCCCCTTGGTTCTCGATCCCTCGGTCACCATAATCAATGTTGATGGAGAATCATTGTCAGCAATAAGACACGGACAACAGCTTGACAAGACTCTCAAATGAGTGTATTCCAGAGCTGACTTTTATACATAGTTTGCTTACATTAGCCATGGTATATGCCATTCATTACAGTACAGACTATAAGATTTATTACTTCCTTATATTACATGTTATTCTGACAATGGAAAGATAAGCTTTTGCATACGTCTGGAAAAGAATATCCTAAAATCGGAATGGGCAAGACATCCTGAAATTTAGCATTGTCTTACATCCTATAGAAGAAATACCTTAGTCTGTCACAGTCAATATATTATATGCGTACATTGACTTTTAAGTATTCAATATTCCTTCAGTCAGCAATGTCATGGTATAAACCTTATAAAAGCATAAAATACATATAAACAAGTTAACTATTTAATATTCTTACGAACTTGGTGAGGGGGTGACAGTGAGTGGGGGCAGTGAGGGGGTTAGTCAATGTGGGAGGTGACAGTGAAGGGGCAGTGTGTGGGAGGGTGACAGTGAGTGGGGAGGGGCAGTGAGGGGGCAGTGTGTGGGAGGGTCACAGTGAGTGGGGGCAGTGAGGGTGACAGTGTGTGGGAGGATGACAGTGAAGGGGGCTGTGTGGGTGACAGTGTGTGGGAGGGTGAAAGTGAGGGAGGCAGTGTGTGGGAGGGTGACAGTGAGGGGGTCAGTGTGTGGGAGGGTGAAAGTGAGGGGGGCAGTATGTGACAGTGAGGGGGTCAGTGTGTGGGAGGGTGACTGTGAGGGGGCTGTGTGTGGGAGGGTGACAGTGAGGGGGAGCGTGTGTGGGAGGCTGAGAGTGAGGGGCGGTGTGTGGGAGGCTGAGGTGAGGGGGGCAGTGTGTGGGAGGCTGAAAGTGAGGGGGGCAGTGTGTGGGAGGCTGACAGTGAGGGGCAGTGTGTGGGGGTGGCAGTGTGTGGGAGGGTGACCTTGGGAGGGGGGGCTGTGTGTGGGAGGGTGACCTTGGGAGGGGGGTCAGTATGTGGACGAGTGTCAGTGTTGGGTGGGCAGTGTGTTGAGAGCTGACAGTATTTCCCACACTACCAGGCGGAACCTTTTTACCTGCCCCTTGTTTCCGGGAGGACGTTTAAGCAGAGAGTCCGGTCCGTCACAGGAAGCAGTCCCCCGGTGTCCTTGGGAAGCTTGCTGCACCACCATGGGTTGGCTGCCAGACGAGGCTCGGAGTTTGCCTCCCCCGAACCTGGTGAACAGGAACTCACTGTGGTGCGGCTTCTTGGGTTACCTGACCGCCATTACCCACAATGCCATCCGCCGCTTCCCTGCGGTAAGGACAGGTGAGACCAATGTCACCTTTATTATACCACCAGGACTGGAGCACCCTGCACTCCCCCCCCCCATTACTGGGAGCCCCCTGCACTGCACCCCATTACTGGGGAGCCCCCTGCACTGCACCCATTAATGGGGAGCCCCCCTGCACTGCCACCATTAATGGTAAGCCCCTGCACTGCCTCTACACTCCCCCCAATTAATGGGTGCCCTGCACTGCCTCCATTAATGGGAACACCCTGCACTGCCTCTACACTCCCCCCAATTAATGGGTGCCCCCCTGCACTGCACCCCATTACTGGGAACACCCTGCGCTGCCCCCCATTAATGGGAACACACTGCATTTTGGTGCATCCCTAGTATATAATGTTGGAAATAAGACAAACTATAATATAAGCATATAGTATACAATATCTTGCATAGAGGTTTAGATTTAGTTGTTTGCTACCTCTGTGCCAGCCAACATGTTTGGGTGTAAAGGGATATATGCTGTGTATTTAGTAAGGTCCCATCCGTTTATGCACATGTTGGTGGTTGGATTTCTGGTGCTCTCTGCAATCCCCATGAAAGTCCATTTGCATCACGAGTCCTGGTATCTCAGAGGAATATGCTATGTAGTAGGTAGCATTTCCTGTGGTAACTGTTAGCTTATGAACATATCTGACTCAATAAATAAATATAAAAAAGTGACTATCCCTCACAGCTCACATCAGGTCCACCTGTGCTGACCAGGCCAGGGATCATACCTTCCACTGACACACCTCATGAAGACTATATTGCATACAGTATTTGGAAATAGATTTTTTTATTTTATTTTTTTTGTGAAAGATAATTTTATAGCTGCAACTTGAAATATAACCTGAAACAATATACCATTTCATTTAGTTCCAGATTCTGTGTAAAAAATTGTTTTCCTTTTTCCAATCTGATAGCAAGGGCTCATCATTGTCATTCTCAGGTGTGCACCGTCAGTTGCTTGTTACCAGTATTGGAGTTTACATTGGCTACTTTCTCACTAAAAACGAGAATTACCAGAATGCAAAGCGAGATCGTGACCTGTATGAATACATGAGACAACACCCAGAAGATTTCAAGAAGCCAGGTATACTCTGAGTTGCTGAGGTCTACCACATAAATGGGCAACAAGACAACTTTTACTGTTTCTCTGATACAGAACTGTTTTATTTCTGCATTTATGTGTTGGAAGAAACTATAATAACCTAAACCTTTTGGTGATGTCCACATTTAACCATACTCCAGTATGGACAAATATCTTCGTTCCTGTTTAAAAGTTCAGGATACTAGTCCTGGAATCGGGGATTGAAGTAGAATATGTTTACCTTGCAGAGATAGGGGGCGGGGGGTGTCCTGAAGATGATGGAACCCATGAATGCTTGGTCTTGTGGGGTCAGTTGCTGGACATGGATATTAGAGTAGCCAGTGTGGTATGTCTTCAACCAGTAAATGTTTTAAGTAAATCTGCACAGCTACATGTAGTGTGAGTAACACACAGGTAGATAACACCACACATATGTATATTGCACACACTCTGTGAGAGGTATGTAGAGAGAGCTTTTACTAAACTTTTGAAATTTCACACTTTAAATCTGAATGGAGAAATGGAGGTCAAAGATTGTGATCATAAGTGAGCTGGAGATTTATTAAATTGTTTTCCAAATCTGTTTGTTTTTGTTTTTTCTTGTTTTTTGTTTTTTTTTTCCATTCAATTTTTAATTACTGAAAATTCAGAGCTTGTTTAATAACCATGTTACTGATGCCCTAGTCTAAAATGATTGTGTGTCAGGACAAATAAATTTAAGCTCCAGCTTTAGTCCATGGGACAAGGAGATGTTTGTTTTTTGTTTTTTTTCTTGTGAATGACAAAGTATTTGCCTCCTGGTTGTCTATGCAGACAATTATCAATTTAAACAAGTGTGAGTCCTTTCAGACCCCTTTAACACTGGAGGGATCCAGTGATATGGAGGAATTAGAGTAGTGTACCTTCCTTGTATACTGTGCAATATGTGAATTAATTAATATGGCGGTTCAGACAACCTTCTGTACATAATGGCTAACGCAACAAGGTTATACTGCAGGAACATTCCCCCAATTTGGGTTACAAAATATATATATATATATATATATATATATATATATATTTTAAAAATGTGTATGTGTATGTGTGTGTGTGTGTGTGTGTATATATGTATGTATATGTATATGTGTATATATATAATTAATTATTTTTTTAAATCTTGGCACTTTTTAAGAGTTGAAACCATGTCTGAATTGACCAGAGCTTAATAATCTTATTCTTGCGCCTCTTTTTTTCCATCTCCACTTATAACCTTGGATTTTATTTTTATTTCAGAACCTAAAACTATGGCTGAACTCCTGGAACCTTGGGTTCCCATACGTTAGATGTTCTTGGCAGTCCAACTCATCAGCATACTGTTGGAAGAATTTTTTTTTTTTTACATTTTTTTTTTGGAAATGACATATTTCCAATGATTGTGGTAAACAAACTAATTTATACAGCAATAAAAAAAAAAATCCAAACAAAAGTGACTAATTATCCTTCTTTTAAATAAACCGTTTTTTCTCTCTGGTTTATTGTAAGTTTGATTACAGATTGTACATCCTATATGTGGATTTGTATAGCTCTTAAACAAAGCACGCCTTTGGCAGGTTTGTCCAACTAATGAATAGAACTTGATGTTGATTATTTTGACATAATTTGTAATTTATTTATTAAAAAAGTGTTTTCTCTTGTGCACAGTTAGAAAAACACAGACGTTGATTTAGGATAATGGTACTTGCCTATAAGTGTTCTGTGGCAGCTAGAATTAAGAAATGATATAAACCTCTGACATCACACACTTGGATCCCTTCTGACTCTCCTACCTGCTGGAAATGTCAGACTGCACTGGGCTGGTAAAAACGCTTTTAAATATGGTGGGAGTGCCCACATGGAAAACTTTTGGAAAGCGGTTTATAAAATTATGCAGAGATTGGCTGATCTTTCTCAATTCAAGCTGGATATTGATTTTTTTAAATCATACTCAAGAGTTACATTTTAATTAAAACCAAACAATTAGAACGTCTTTCAAGCAATCAATGTGCTTCTCAAACAGAGCTCATTCTCACACATCCACTCCTCATCTTATTTACGGCTAGTCCTATGCATCCTCTAAACTCGCACTTTCTTTTAACACAACTGGAACAGACTTTTATTCACACATATTATTCTGGCTCTTCAGCACTAGCCCAGCTTTACTGCCTGGTTACTGAGCTCCGTGCGCCATACATGGGCTCCTTCATACAGCACTCCCTGCACTATGCTTGGGCTCCCTCCTGCCGAGCTCCCTGCACTATGCTTGGGCTCCCTCCGGCCGAGCTCCCTGCACTATGCACGGGCTCCCTCCGGCCGAGCTCCCTGCACTATGCACGGGCTCCCTCCTGCCGAGCTCCTTGCACTATGCATGGGCTCCCTGATACAGCACTCCCTGCACCACACAATGGCTTCCTCCTGCTGAGCTCCCTGCACTATGCATGGGCACCTTCCTGCACTATACATGGATTCCCTGATACAGTCCTTCCTTTCACCTGGCACGGAATGGAGCCCAGAGTTCCTTCATATAGAGATCACCTCACCTAGACTTACCACCAGATATCCACCTAGAAAGGGCAACTGTTAGTCCAGTTTAAGGTGATTCCCATTAGATTGTTGGTGAGAAGCCAATCATTGCAGTATAATATTTAGCAGATAATTGTCTAATTGCATGAACATCCCTTTTACCAACACACATTGTACATTGATTGGAGTTACATTGTGGCATAAGTATTGTTATAGATAAATGGTTAAAACCTTTGCCCTCAAGTCATTCCATGTCTGAGAGGGTTAAAAGTCAAATTCTTCATTCCTGCTTCTGTCAGCAGTTTTCTGCAGCACATTCATGAAATGTTACTTTTTGTTAAAGGGGTTCTCCAGTGCCAGGAAAACATCCATTTTCCTGGCACTGCAGGACCCTGGCATGCCCCTCTCTCTCCCACCCCAAGTTGCTGAAGGGGTTAAAACCCATTCAGTGACTTACCAGAGTCCAGCTCCGATGTCCCTCAGCGCTGGGTCAGGCTCCGCCTACTCTCTCCCGTCGACACCAGCCGGCGGGGGAGACCTAATGCACATGTGTGGCAATGGCTGTGCATGCGCATTAGTCCTCCCCATAGGAAAGCATTATTCAATGCTTTCCTATGGGGATTTCGGCGACGCTGGAGGTCCTCACAATGCGTGAGGATGTCCAGCGTTGCTTAAAAAACTTTTCGTGTTCTATGAACACGGTAGTCCCTCTAGTGGCTGTCTAGTAGACAGACACTAGAGGAGGACTTAACCCTGCAAGGTAAATATTGCAGTTATGAAAACTGCAATAATTACACTTGCAGGGTTAAGGGTAGTGGGAGTTGGCACCCAGAGCACTCCAATGGGCCAAAGTGGTCTGGGTGCCTGGAGTGTCCCTTTAACCTTGGAATTCTAACCTAGCTTAGATAAGATGTTCTTAAGTCAGCAATTGTCCCTTGTCTTCATGCACACGTGCGCAGTAAAAATACATTTTTCTGTACACATGCGCAGTAGACTAATGCTATAATAAATATGCAGTGCTCTCCAAATAAAAGATGAGAAGATATTTGAACTATAACGGAGTAAGTCTGTGGTTTTTATTATCTGTTCTCCCAAGCGCTCGAACACCTAATTGGGAGCCTCTGGTTATCTGCGGACTGCAACTCCTGTTACTCTCAGAAAGGCTCTGTCCATACAGTCTGTGTACTGCAATGTACAGTCAGGTCCATAAATATTGGGACATCAACACAATTCTAATCTTTTTGTCTCTATACACCAACACAATGGGTTTGAAATGAAACAAACAAGATGTGCTTTAACTGCAGACTTTCAGCTTTAATTTGAGGGTATTTACATCCAAATCAGGTGAACGGTGTAGGAATTACAACAGTTTGTATATGTGCACGCCATGTCCTCAGCCTCTGGAGTGTGCTGATATAGTAAATCTACAGGGTTATTATCTAAAGTGAGTTTCAAATTTATGGCCAAAGCTACCAAACTGGAAGCATAGCTGACTTAGAGAATGTTTCCAGTACGTCTATTTGTACCTTGAATTTAAAATTCACTCTGAATTCTCACTTTAGTCCTTAGTAGCTTCTCCCATCATTGTATTAATGTTTATTGGGCTTCTAAAACCTTTTCTTGTGCTGCCCCTCAGGATGTGTCCATTCCAGGAATATATGATAGAGCTGGTGACCATAGTTGCCTGTCTGTCAGGCTGAACATGCTCGCAATTTAATTGGCTTCATATTCCCATATCTTCTAAGGGCAATTGACCTTTTCTTTTCCTACATAAGATATAGTCCTTTGAGACTTTGGTGTAATGGTGTTAGCCAAACATTAAGGGGCGCTCTAAGCAATCACATAATCACTATATCTCAATAAATTACTGTAGTAAGGTGGTTTTTGATAGCTTTTTTTTTTTTATGTAAAGTTTTGTATTTCTGTTTATTCTGGGCTATGGAATATTATAATCACACAGATTTTTAATGACATTATATCCCTCTTTCGCCATATCAGAGTTGATTTAATAGCGTGCAGAAAATACATATTTTCAGTATCAGGTCTGGTTTGTTTGTGGGGTATTTTTTTTAAACAAAGGGTGTGACAGAGTTTGTATTTGTACTACAACGTCATTTATTTGATGTATGCTGACAGCATGGGTGTACAAACAGAAATATTAACAGGTGATCCCCACTGAACTCCAGGAGAGCCACCATCCTTCTGCTTAATCATAGGAAAAAAGGAGGTTGGCAAAAAAACAACAACCTAGATTTCAATATTTGTGCTTTTGTCTTCGAATGTGTGTGATAGTGAACATTAAACATGAGCATTTGGTTTTGTCCTGATTGAGGTTTGGTTGAAATCTGTATCTCTAAACTGCCATGCGGATGTGAAACTGAGCAAACAAGGCGGTTACCAAATATGTTTGGATGCTTTCGAATTAGGGCTTCCGTTCCTGAATGAGGGGCTCCTTATCTTGCACCAAAAAAAAGGAGGCGGGGGAATTGTGAGGATTTTTTTTTTAAAGAAGGTACAATAAGCAGCTTAATTTGCTATGATTGACAAAAGTGCTGCCCAATCATGTGGCTTGCAGCCTCTGTCCATCATTTAATAATTTTTTCCACCTCTTGATCGGTCAGGGAACTGCCACTAAATGTGGATTTTATTTATACAAGTGAAGTGACACATGGTGGGGGGTGTGGAGGGAGCAGTAAAAAAAATCAACATCTACAAGCAGACTCTTTCCGGACAGTTTGTCTGCAGCTATTGAGGGAAACAGATCAACAGTAATATGGTGTGTTTTACCATTGCTGTGACTGGGTGGGGGGAAGGAAATAACCTGTATTATTGATTTTGTGTGAGACTATGCTTAGGGTGCTACATATCAAGCAAGCTACTGTCAGTGGCACTTAAAGGGACCCTAAAGATCCCTAAAGCACTTCAGCTTGCTGATGTGTTTAAATGTGAAGAGCGTGTCCCTTTTTTTATTTTACAAAACGTGCAGATTTCAATATAAATGGGAACTTTTATAAATTAGCCTTGTTACACCCCCCTTGCTGCCAATCAGACAACCAGTCCTGTTACTTCCTGGTTTGGTTAGCTCAGTGGAGATAAACTCAAGAGGCAGCAATTGCCCAGAATTGGAAAGTCTTTGATTGGGCAGAAAGTCTGGGCTGGGGAAAAGGGGGAGGGCTTGCAAAGGCTGCAGAGAAGAGATCTACCCACAATGAAAAAAATGCATACTTAAATGAATGCATGTTTCCATTGGGGGTATATCTACTGAACAGTAAAAAAAAAAAAAAAAAAAGTTTGTATGTGGGCAGTGGAGTGATCCTTTAAAACAACTTTGAATGGGAGCTAGAATATGTTTTATTGATCTCATTGTGAGACTGGTGTATAGGTTAGTGCTGTGTCTACTGCTAGCAGACACTCTGCCATTTAACACAACTTTAAATCACTAATGTACAGTTTTACAGGTCTTGACAGTTTGACAAGTCTTCTGTTAAGTGTTTGTAGAAAGAAAATACTTTTTTGGGGGGAAAAAATAGGAAAACAAAACAAGTTTCTCTTGCTTAGAAACTGCCAGTGCCACAAACACCAAGTTTGAGTGGGAGATAGCTAGCCTGGGTTATTTATTCTAGTAAGACTGGTTAGGTTACTGATGTGCCAAGCTCCTGCCAGTGGCACAGTGCAATTTACACAAATGTTGATTTAGAGATAGATATGCTCTGTTTAATAAGAGTTTCATCGATCCTATAGTGAAACTGGTGGTTACTGCTGTAATAAGCCCCTGCCACGTTAAACAACTTGGAATCACTAATTTACAACTTGATAGGTCTTTCTCCGTATTTGTGGAAAGAAAATTAGTTGGGTTTTTTTTGGCAGTGTGTTGTTCAGTAAATAATAAAAAAAAAAACAAAAAAAAAAACAATCCACTTGCCTAGCTACCAGTGCCACTTAAACCAACTTGAGTGGGAGATAGCCTACTGTAATCCTAGTATGTGACTGGTTTGAACTGATTTACAGAGTTATTTACTAGAGTGAGAATTGTCAGGAATTTTAAGTGAATTCAATTTTAAGGCAAAGATACCTGAACTGGAAACATTCTCTGTGTCAGCTATGCTTCCTGTTCAGCTACTTTAAAATTCACTTAGCCTAAGAATTTTCCCTTTAGTAAATAACCCTGATAGAGTTTGACAGAACTGTAGAAAGAAAATCCTTTTTTTTTTTTTTTTCGGTGTTCAGTCCAGTGTGTGTGAGCACTGTGTGTGTGTTGCGGTGTGCTGTGTAGTGTTTGCAGTGTTTCAAAACCATAATGTTGTAGTACTAATCCAACAAGCATCAAGATTCTGCAGACACTTCTCAAAATACATTTTCACTATTTGTTTTGAGCCATGGACCAAATTTCTTGGAATCATTTTTTTGTAAATACTAGCTGACACATTTTGTAACAACTGTTTTGCAGTGACCATGTTATTAATATCGCCTGACGTGTTCTTTTTGGGGCTCTTATTTGGAAACTCCTTGTGAGAAGAACATGTCAAAGTGTGGTGTGGGACACAGCCTGCAAAGTAAATATTGCATTGCTGAAGCATGACCAAGTAGGAGTGAGAGTGCAATCTTATCTCATTCTGTGAATAAACAGATTTTCTGTGAAAACACCTGAATGAACTTTAGTATAATTTTGGACTTAAATAAGACTCACCTGGCAACAGATAATAGGTGAGTCAGGGAGGGAACATATTTTATAACACAATTAACCCCTTAAGGACCAAACTTCTGGAATAAAAGGGAATCATGACATGTCACACATGTCATGTGTCCTCAAGGGATTAAAGGAACTCTGTAATGCAAAAAATGAGAGATTGCAGTTCAATTGAGCTAGCAAATCTATTAACAGAACAATTTGTTACTCGCCTCTCTTTGTTTGAGTTGTGGCCACACTGCTTGCAGTTTCCATGTGTGACAAAACTACATACTTTGTTTCCCAAAAGTAATTTTTCTGCGTTCAGTAGATAAATCTACCGAAAACCGACCACCCCCTGGCTCACTTAGTGCAAAGAAAACCACAGGATTAAGTGCTGTCCCTGTCTCCAGCACGTGGCGTTTGGTAATACAAACAGCGGCCATTTTGTCGCACGAAGGGAGGCAGCAGGACTTGGTCTTCGAGTGTCTGGAACTCCAAGTCAGACACTCAACCCCGCTGGACAACTCAACACTGGACAACGTCACGAACACCGGCTTCTTTTCACAGACAAGCCAGGAGAGCGCTGTTCGGTAGGTTTGTTCACACGAACAAGGTGAACAAACGCTACCTATGAGCCGGGGGAAACGTTTGTTGTTTTGTTCAGTTTGGAACTCCCGAAAGTGACCAACCGCTACCACCAGAAACTATGGAACTGTTTTGGGCAGGCACCTCATGAGTGGTCGGTCAAAACAATTTGCCTGCGTTCGTGAGATCTGTGCACTATTTGGACAACTTGGGCACTCAGATCCAAGCTATCCGGGAATATATTTATGAGGGTTCCTATATGTTTTATGTGTATTTTTATGCAAAGTCATTGTGACTCAGAAGTTCGTGGGCATGTTGTCGGAGTTTATGTGGGCGTGTATACTGTATTCCTGAATTGCATAAAACTCGGCCATCTTGCCTGAATAAAATGATTCCTGTTGTACCCTTCATCTAGTCTGGACTGATGTTTGGGTATGTGACTGACGAACCGCTGGATTTACTTTTATGCTTTGATTTTCGTGAACGTACAAATCAGCGCTCTGGGCCATAATCACTAAGTCCCTAGTAGTTCGGGAGCATACGAACGAACGGGTATACGAAATACCAACGTTCGTTACACCATGCATTGTCAAATGCCACTCAATACACTGCCTGCAGGCCATATAACATAGATGAACCACCTCTGTGCACAAATTTATTAAAGGGATTTATTAAGGGATTTATTAAAGGGACTTCTGCCCAGTGGAGTGGTCTGGGTGCCAACTCCCACCACCCCTGCAAGTGTAATTATTGCAGTTTTCATAAACTGCAATATTTACCTTGCAGGGTTAAGTCCGCCTCTAGTGGCTGTCTATCAGACAGCTACTAGAGGGACTTCCGTGTTCATAGAACATGAAAAGTGTTTTAAGCAACGCTAGACATCCTCACGATATATGAGGACCTCCAGCGTCACTGAAATCCCCACAGGAAAGCATTAAATAATGCTTTCCTATGGGGAGGTCTAATGTGCGGCCATTCCCGCGCATGCTCATTAGGTCTCCCCTGCCAGCGGGGAAGGAGAGTAGGCAGAGCCTGACCAGCGCCGAGGGACATCGGCGATGGACTCCGGTAAGTCACTGAAGGGGTTTTAACCCCTTCAGCAACTTGGGATGGGGGGTGGAAGGGAGAGGGGCACTACAGGGTCCTACAGTGCCAGGACAACTAATATATTTTCCTGGCACTAGAGAATCCCTTTAATTCTCCCTTCACACCATTCTGCTTTACCTCAATCTACCCTCTTCTCTCCCATGGTTTTGATTAGTAGACTGGAGAAGCCATTATAAGTTGCATTTCTAGTTGAATTTGCGGAAACCATTTTAAGCATTTGTTGTGTTGAGCTATTACAATTGCTTTTGTTTGATTTGTTTATTGGAAAAAAGTGGAAGTCTGTATTTTGACAATAAGCCTGATTTTCAATGGGGGTTGAATAATTTTGATTACAACTGTACATCTAGGGCATTAATATGTTTGACAAACTCATGTGAATTGGACTCATGGTAAGAGACAGGTGCGTTCGGCATGCACAAGTTGTCATTTCCAGTTGACGCTTACCAGACTAAAGACTAAGTGAAAAAAACAATGCTAGCAAGATCTGTAGTGCCCACACCCTCTGTGACATCACTTCCAGGCAACGACCAAAACTGGAAGGCCTGCAGGAAGCAGTTATTAAACACCACCAGGGTTACATTATTATTGGACTGCCTCTGTATATACTTGGACTCTCGATGGACTCAGCACTTCTGATGGAACCAAGGTGAAATGTGCTGTGTTTTATAGTTTGTTGAATATTCTGTTTTTAGCTTTTGTTGTATCTCAATTGTTTTGTTTAATAAAGTTTATTTATTCATACTACTTTGGAGAAAAATATTTTCTGTACATCAACTGGCTTCTTGGTATCTGTACATCCCAGGTGGAGATTATATACCACCAATAGCTTTTACCACCGGAGCAGGTTTTATTGCTCAGAAAAGTGTAAGTAGAATACCTTTACTACTTCATGTTCTATTCTGGTATTGTACCGTTCGATGATATGTCTTGTGTATTTTTATATCACACTGCAACTAGAAGTGGAGACCACTCACCACCACAGATATCCTAAAACAGGGATTGTACCGTCCACGCTGATTACAGCAAAGCTCTTGGTAGCTCCTTAAAGTGTAAGTTAGTTCTCCTCTGCACTTTATATCTATCTCGTTTGATTGGCAATATTGCACTATTATTTGTTTTGTTTTTTTGCTTTTCTCTTTTGAGATTGTTGTGGCTGATTCAAAGAGCCCTGTATATGTACTCTTTTTTTTCTTGTATATTTGCACTTAAAGATTGTTATATTCATATCACATTACTCACTTCAGTTACTATACTTACCTTACTTTTTTTTAATTTTGTTTACTATATGTAGTTTGCAAGGTTAGAGAATCCTTTCTTTAGGTTACGGTTGCCTGGCCTCCCTTATAGTATAGTGAGCGCCTAACTTTTTTGTATTCAATTTCTATTGAAACCTGTAAAATGTGGCACACACACACACACACACAACACTGGTTTATAGGTGTGGAGTTTTGTAATACACTTCTACACATTACTGCAAATTGCATTGCTGCAGAGCACCGTGATACACGTTTTATTTTTAATACGGCGGAGCAAAACCCCGGAGCTCCAATGCAATGCAATTAACAGTATTGTGGGGCATGGAGGAGTACCAAGAAGCTCCAAAACAATATTTCATTTATTTTATGTGGCGCTTCTGTGTAAATGTAACATATGCTTCCTTCACAGGAGAGGGGAATGCAAAATGCCTTTAAAGCCAAAAATATGTACATCGGCCCTGCAGGCAGAGGTGTAGTAGTTGCAGTATGTGGCATGTGAAGTACAGTAATAAATGGAAGTAAAAACACTCAAACTATCCCGGAACATCACCTGACTGTTCCATTAAGACGTGAGGTGTGGGGGGGCGAGTGCAGTTTATTAGCTGTTGGTTCATACACGGCCGTAAAACAGACCACATTACAGCAGACCAACGTATTAAAAAAGAGGAATAAATAAATAAGGAAGACATGCAGAATGTTATTCCTTCCTTTTAAAGGAAGGAATGTCACTTTAATGGTGGCCAGTGAAGTTGTAAGATGGTCGAGTGTAAGACTCCACCCTTGGAATTTGGGTCCAGTCCTCCCTGCTTCTGACCTATTGGACTCATAAAATAGTTGTCAAAATATAAATCTAATTCATTGGTTTAACTTGGATTGCCAGAGATAAAACCAGCTTATTGCAAAGCAATGTAAGGGGCTCACTTCTTGCTCTGACATGGTTAAAAACATTATTACTTAGTATGCAGCATGCTTCTCAAGCACTCCTGTTTTCACTTCCTGTTGTCCCAACATTTGGGGACACTGGACAAGCATAGTGCAAGGGCATCATTAGACACGAGTGCTCTATGGTCATGGCATTAGCACCCTGTAGAGAGCACTGAAACAGTGTGTCTGCAAGGTCTACCGTTGGTGGGCCAGCCTACTTAATTGGCAGGCAGCTTGGCAGGTTTGTAGGCACAGGCCTATTCAGATGATGACAACCCCATGAATCTGATGTGCACAGAATAAACAGGAGAAATAAAATAAAAATCCCATGTGGGAACAGAACTCACAATGTTTCCATTACAAGCACAGTGTTCTACCTGTAGACCTGCAGTCAGCAACCTATGACCTGTACTTACTGCACAGCTTCCCTGCTGGCTCTATAGCAGCGGTAGCAAAATTGTGTGCCACAGCGCCCTGGGAAGCCGCAAGATATTTTCCCAGTGCTATGATGATAGCACCAGGAACCATGCCTCCCTCTCCCCGGCAGGCTCTAGAGGACCGGAGGGTAGATCAAAGATCTCCCTTTCCGGCCAGCTCGCAGTGTACTGCTGGCAGGGGTAGCTCTAACTTGCAGCTATGCCAGGTTCTACTCTCGCGAGTTTGTTGCATTGCCGCAGTTACTACGGCAACACTGTACCCACACAAATTATATCCAATTTTTCCTCACAATTATTTTTATCATATCAGATTCCAGCGCTCAAATTTGCCGGATGTATCAGGTGCGTCTGAGGTCATTAATGACCTTTTTTTGTTGGACGTACCTGATACGTCCGCGGTCACTAGGTTGACATTGGATTGGCTGAAAGTGACAGAAGGCCGCTCTTAGCCAATGAAAGTTGCACAGAATTAACATTAGCATGGTTAATGACACTCCTATGACTCTGCTAGAGTAATACCTCCAGCTACTAAGGGGTTAATCTCTGTATGTACAGAGTTTCAAAATGAAAAACAGTGCACATACAGACTCCAGGCACCATAACCACTTCAGTAGACATGGTGTTTGGAGCAATCCTTTACAACGTGACTGGTCAAGAATGTAAAGGGTATCTGTGTGTTAGGAATGCAGATTTGTATCACTGTAGTGCCCTCTTATCTTCCCTATCTAGCTAATAAAGGGTTAAACAATCGCCTCAATGGTTTCCTATGGGATTTCACGGTCATTGGATTTCCTCATGCAGAGCGTGAGGACGTCTGTTGTCATTTAGGGGACCTAGGGTCCAATGTCCTCTGTACTGCCTCTAATCTCTCCAATATTCATTTTCCTCTATCGGACCACCATCTGCTGACTTTTGACATAAGACCCAATTGACACCACTGTCTGAACATCACTCTCACAGAAACCTCCAATGTCTTGGCCTAGAGCATTTCTCCACTAATCTCCAAACTCTCCTTTTACCTATCTCAAAAAAAAAATCATTAAAAATCCACTTCTTCATAATAGCATATCAATTAAACTGTTACTAGCTCCTGACTGATTCCTCTTCTGCAACTGTCACTAGTTAATACTGTGTCACTTTACCCCATTCCCTCTAGCATGTAAGCTCATTGAGCAGTGCCCTCAACCCCTCTGTTCCTGTGTGTCCAACTTGTCTGGTTACAACTACATGTCTGTTCATCCACCCATTGTAAAGCGCTACGGAATTTGATGGCGCTCTATAAATATCAATAATAATAAACTCCTGGAAGCGCCTCTAGTGGTTGTCTGGAAGTTTACATTGCAGGACTAGGGGTGACAGGGACACTGCGCCCAGACCACTACAATGAGCGGAAGTGGTCTAGGTGCTCATGGTGTCAGTTTAACGTGAATTTCATTTTTTTTTAGGCCACAATAGCTAAACTTAAACCATAGGGGGACTTTAATTCATATTGCTACGTTCCATTCTCTTTAATGATTTAAAACCCTATTTCAGCATAGAAAATGTCAAATCATTACCATTGCTGTGCTAAAACAGAACTCATTAAGTCACTTATTAATGAAAAACATATTCCAGGGTAAAATTATTGCAAAGATTTACAAAATGGAAATATCCAGCATGCAAAGAATGTAAAATCTGGATGTAGTTTAATTATTTGCAGTAACTGTGCAGTGACAACAGTCGAAAGCTTGTGGTGAGAGAACCTGGTTAGCCAAGACCAGCTGAGAGAGAGCCGGGGCCAGCTCAGTGAGCTTTAAAAGGAGAGAGGAAATTATATGAATGACAGTTCACAGAGCTTGATCCCAGGTGAAAGAGATCTGCAGGGAGCTCTGTGTCAGTCAGTATCAGTCCAAGGAGCTTTGTACGAGGGAGCTCCATTTCGGTCAGTCCCAGCTGAGGGAGCTCTGTGTCGGTCAGGGAGCTCAGTCCCAGGTCAGGGAGCTCTGTGTCGGTCAGAGAGCTCAGTGGTCGGTCAGGGAGCTCTGTACCAGGAGATGGAGCCCAGTCCCAGCTGAGGGAGCTCTGTGTCGGTCAGGGAGCTCAGTCCCAGTTCAGGGAGCTCTGTGTCGGTCAGAGAGCTCAGTGGTCGGTCAGGGAGCTCTGTACCCAGAGATGGAGCCCAGTCCCAGCTGAGGGAGCTCTGTGGTCGGTCAGGGAGGTCAGTCCCAGTTCATTGAGCTCTGTACCCAGAGATGGAGCTCAGTCCCAGTTCAGTGAGCTCTGTGGTCGGTCAGGGAGCTCAGTCCCAAGAGATGGAGCTCCGTGTCAGTCAGTCCCAGTTCGGGGAGCTCCGTGGTCGGTTAGTCCCAGGAGATGGAGCTCTGTGGTCGGTCAGTCCCAGTTCGGGGAGGTACGTAGCAGGGAGCCCACATACAGTGCCGAGATCCCTGTGGTCGGTCAGTCCCAGGAGATGGAGCTCTGTGGTCGGTCAGTCCCAGGAGATGGAGCTCTGTGGTCTGTCAGTCCCAGGAGATGAAGCTCTGTGGTCGGTCAGTCCCAGTTCGGGGAGCTCCGTCCCAGTTCGGGGAGCTCCGTTGTCGGTCCGTCCCAGTTCGGGGAGCTCAGTCCCAGTTCGGGGAGCTCCGTGGTCGGTCCGTCCCAGTTCGGGGAGCTCTGTGGTCGGTCGGGGAGCTCAGTGGTCGGTCGGGGAGCTCAGTGGTCGGTCGGGGAGCTCAGTCCCAGTTCGGGGAGCTCTGTGTCGGTCAGAGAGCTCAGTGGTCGGTCAGGGAGCTCTGTACCCAGAGATGGAGCCCAGTCCCAGCTGAGGGAGCTCTGTGGTCGGTCAGGGAGGTCAGTCCCAGTTCATTGAGCTCTGTACCCAGAGATGGAGCTCAGTCCCAGTTCAGTGAGCTCTGTGGTCGGTCAGGGAGCTCAGTCCCAAGAGATGGAGCTCCGTGTCAGTCAGTCCCAGTTCGGGGAGCTCCGTGGTCGGTTAGTCCCAGGAGATGGAGCTCTGTGGTCGGTCAGTCCCAGTTCGGGGAGGTACGTAGCAGGGAGCCCACATACAGTGCCGAGATCCCTGTGGTCGGTCAGTCCCAGGAGATGGAGCTCTGTGGTCGGTCAGTCCCAGGTGAAGCTCTGTGGTCGGTCAGTCCCAGTTCGGGGAGCTCCGTCCCAGTTCGGGGAGCTCCGTTGTCGGTCCGTCCCAGTTCGGGGAGCTCCGTGGTCGGTCCGTCCCAGTTCGGGGAGCTCTGTGGTCGGTCGGGGAGCTCTGTGGTCGGTCGGGGAGCTCAGTCCCAGTTCGGGGAGCTCAGTCCCAGTTCGGGGAGCTCTGTGGTCGCTCAGTCCCAGTTCGGGGAGCTCCGCAGCAGGGAGCCCACATACAGTGCCGAGATCCCGGGCAGCAGGCCGGCGCTGACCCGCAGCATGTTGACCAGTCTCTGGGCCGCACAGTCCATGTCCTCGGGCCGGTCGAGCTGCACGAAGAGCAGGGGGCTCCGGTGGGTGTCCGCCAGCTCCCGGACGGCCGATCTCTCCACCGCGAGCGGCCGGGCGGCGGCGGCCAGGGCCAGGAAGCAGAGCTTGCCCAGGAAGTAGTGCGGGTCCAGGCGGGGGAGCGAGGCCCGGGCGGCGGACAGGCTGGCCGGGCTGTGCAGGCTGACCAGCACGAGGACCAGGTCGAAGCGCGGCCGGCGGTGCTCCCCCTCGGGCGGCAGGGGCAGGCCGGGCGCCATGTGGATCTGCACCTGGAAGGGTCTGGGCGCCCGGAGCAGGGCCCGCGCCAGCCGCTCCCGGCAGCTCTCCTCGGAGCCCAGCAGCAGCACGCCGGCCGTGTTCAGCAGGGGCAGCTTGTCACAAGGCCGCAGCTCGCTCATAATGCGCTCCTAGCGGGGATCGAGCGATTCACTAATATCGCACTGCCGCCATCTTATTATACCGCGCTCAGCGAGTCTGGAGAGCGGGAACCGCCGGACTGCAACTCCTATCACTCACACCTACCCCCACCGGGCTTCACAGCCGGACTGCAACTCCTATCACTCATAGACTGTGCCTGCTGCAACGCCTATCACTCATAGACTGTGCCCAGCAACTCCTATCACTCATAGCCTGTGCCCACAGCAACTCCTATCACTTTCAGACTGTGTCCATATCAACTTCTATCACTCAGACCAGGCCCATAGCAACTCCTATCACTCCAAGGCAATCTGAGTAACGTGCACAACGCCTAGAATAGCTTACTAACCCTACACCACCTGGCTGGCGAGCACTGTGGGAGTTAAAGTTCTACACAAGCTGGAGACCTATTCTTTGGTCACTGCAGAGATACATGATAAGGAATACAACTCCCATTACTTCCCAACAGTCTTTGCTTACATGGCGTATGGGATGTAAAAATTAAAGATAGTTGAATATGAGTAGCCCAACTGCTATCATTCTCAGGCAGGCACAGGAGGGTTTAATGTATAAATAACTGTACAGTCTAACAGAGCACAGTCTATTTCGTAATAATTCTATTTTTGCGCACAGTATGTATACAGATGTGTAAATAGGCTTTGCGCATTAGAACAAAGTAGAGCATACTTGCGAATTTTGATACAGGGTAGTTCACAAAACACCGCATTTTGACCGGTCGGAGAAAATGCGTTGGAAACTAACAAATTCCACCCACATTTTAAATTCTCTGGTTTACTAAAGCCAAACGTGGTCAGGATTCAATCAATCCCACGGATTCTGTAACATTGTTTCGAATGAGTTCGGAAAATTAGGGACTTCCCTAACCGAAATGATCTACAGCACCGGAATCGGAGCTTTATCAAAAACCACCAATCGAATGTATCAAGCAAGTGGGAACATGTCTACTACACAGCTAAAAATAACGAATGGGCAGCCAGTGCTGTCCACTCTCAAGAAGGGAGTGGGGGGTTTAATTAGACATCAGGTGGGGGATGCTTTAAGGGGGAAGCTAGTGTCCCTCATCTCCCCCAGTCCCCACCCATGGGGGCCCTAATAGTTCTAAAATGAGGGGGGACCATAGAGTCCCTTATAATACCTTAAAGGCCCTAACCTGACAAAATGAATGGGGGCCCTAAGTAGTATAGTAGGGAGGTGAGACCTATTGTTTCCTACCCCTGCTCCCACCCACACTAACGATTGGGGTCCATAATATATATAACAAGGGGAGAGACCTAGTGTCTCCTCTTCTGGCTTCCACCCATGCTCTTGCGTCGTGGCCCTAATAGTTATAAATAGTAATTTTCACAGAAACAGGTTTGTTTTAAAAAGTACAGTATAAACAAAAAACAGCATCCCCCTCAACTAAACCCCAGCCCCCTCTCTACTAAACCCCAGTCCCCCCTCTATACTAAACCCCAGTCCCCCCCTCTATACTAATTCCCAGTCCCCCCACTCCTCTGTACTAAATTCCAGTCACACCCTCTACTAAATACTATTTATTGTTCCCTACCTTTGGGAGCTGGTGTGGGGCCTCTCCCTGGGGTCCAGTGGGGGATCTTCTCTCGGGATGTCTCCCTTCCTGCTCCTCACTGCTCCCTCACACGCGCAGTTTAGTGATGCCGGGCTGGAATTACATCATATTTCAGCACCCGGCATTACTGCATAGGGCACTCGCGAGTGAGCAGTGAGGAGCAGGAAGAATTAGCTCCCTCGCTGCCGCCAGCGACCTCTCCCCCCGGCCGGGTAAATTTTAGCATAGTAGGCACCTGCAATGTGGGGAGAGCAGGTGCCTGCTCTGCTTTAACATGTGAAACTCACGGCTCACCGGGCTGCAAAGATATTTATTGTGGGCTACATGCGGCCCACAGGCCACGACTTTGACATGCATGTTGTAGGTGATCAGTGTACACAGGTCTTACTGTGAGGTGTTGCATATATATATATGACCCACAACTTTCATAATTCCCAGGAAAACTCTGACCGCTGGACGGAGAGTCGAAAATTAAAGGGATTTATTCACTAAACACAAAATTGTAGGAAATTTAAAAACAAATTGCCACATTTAAGCAACGACGACTAATTCTGTTGAATTCTAAAATTTGGTTTCCAGATGAAGTTGCAATCTAGAGCAAGTGGGGTAGTCCCTACTTTGTCTCAGTATATCTTTTGATTGGATCCAACACAGTTAATCTGAGTATTTCATAAGTAGCTAAACTGGGAGCATAGCTGTCTTGAAGAACTTTTCCATTTTTGCCTTAGATTCTAATTCTCAACTATCGTCACCCTAGTGAATAACACTGAAAATGCCTGAGGGATGAAACAGAATTTCAACGATTTTTCAAAGAATCCATTTCTTATAGAACTGTCAACTACTAAGCAAGTGTGCCTTACAATGCACAGCCACATGTCTGCAGGCCTCCCAAGGTTAGGTCCTGTTCTGCTTCAGTTCTGCGGTGTCCCTCAAATGGGGACATCAGGGAGCTATCACCTGACAGTGAGTGCGCATCATTAGATGCGTTCTCATTGTGCTGCGGGCACTAGGACTATGCAGCGTTTCAGTAGCGTCATTGCATTGTAATATGGGCCTATCAGCCTGCCATTTTTCAGGCTGGCCTGCCCATTATTAGTGTCACTTGTGACATGGGTCACGTCAGTGATGACCCTTGACGGCCCTTCCCATAACATCTCAATTCTTCCCTTCCGATTGTTGGCGACCAATGTGCCTGTCCTTGCTGCCCTACACAATGCAGCCTTGCTTTTAATTGCTTTGTTTCCCAGAGAACCCACTGTGCCAAGCAAGTATGCCATGACATTAAATGCATAGCCACGTAGTCATTCTCAATGTCTGCACGGTGCAGCCTTGTCATGTGCCCAGCAAGTGTGCCCTAGCAACCACATCTCACAATGCACAGCAACAGTGCTACTTTGTTGTGGTGAGCAAAATTGACGCAGGTCATGTGGTTTTGGCTTGGAAATGTAACAGACTTTGCTTCAAAAGTATTCTTTAATGTCCACATCACATCCGCATGGACATATAGTAAATGTAAGGAGTGTGTTTTTCGCTACAAAATCTAGATTGGGCTAACACAAATGAGGGGAGCAAACGTAGAGTCCTACATGGTAATGCCTCGCACTATCATTATTATCGATTAGGCAGAAACAGGATACAGCAATGGAGTTTAAAAACATGTGTGAGGACATCAGCTACCATTATTCATGCGAGTCAGTCAACATTATACCATAACTTCCCCATTCACATACAGGAAAATCAGGTTGGGGAATGAAGGATAGCAGGTTATAAAACCATGCCCCGAAGGGATTCCCTGCTTAGACACATGTGTCAACCACTGGGATGTGAAACATCACAAAAAAAATTTTTAAAAGAAAAAAAAACAGCCTTAGTTTCCTTTTTTATATATTTGCATCTAATAAAAAAATACGGAGATTGAATTTCTATTCTCACTCTTGTGAATAACTCTGTGTTGTGTTGTAGAATGCCCCTGTCTACTCTAGAATATGTTGCCAGTGTTTTGAAAACAAAAAACTTCACAGAACAAAACCTATTACAGAAGGATGGATAGAAGAATATTTTCTGTCACACTAGTGCTGTACACATCATGGCAGTATGTTCTAGTACACATTGCTGCATGGTTTGTTCTCCTCTAAACGCTAAATTATGGTAAAATGCAGTGTTAATTTTGTCGACTAACAATTTTAGCCGACTAACGTTTTTGAGATTTAGTCGACTAAAACTAAAACAATTCAGATGACTAAAATACAACTAAAACTAAAATGAAATTTTTGTCAAAAGACTAAGACTAAAACTAAATTGAAATTTGCCGCCAAAATTAACACTGCACAGAGGGCAAATGAGACAGACCAGGACTTGGGAAAAAGACACCTAGAGGGTCTGGGAGGATACAAAGATACACAGAGGGGCTGTTAAAGGGGCAAAAGAGACAGACCAGGGTGTGGGAGAAAAACACCTAGAGGGGCTGGGAGGATACAAAGATACACAGAGGGGCTGTTAAAGGGGCAAAAGAGACAGACCAGGGTGTGGGAGAAAGACACCTAGAGGGGCTGGGAGGATACAAAGATACACAAAGGGGCTGGGGAAGGGCCAAAAGAGACAGATAGAGGCTTCAGCTAAACCCACTAGATTTTAATCTTGTCGACTAAAGTCTACAGGAGATTTAATCGACTAAAACAATTCAGATGACTAAAATACGACTAAAACTATGTTTAGCCAAAAGACTGACTAAAACTAAATAGACGTTTGCCCGCAAAATGAACACTGGTAAAATGTAGGCAAATATAGCTGAACTAGAATAATTATCCAACTCGGCTATAGTCACATCTTGGTTATTCTGGCCTGTATTTTGCCATTCAAATCTCAATTCACTATAATTTGCAGCTGTATTCACTAAAGTGTGAATTGTCGGAATTCAAAGTGAATTTCAAATCTTAGGCTAAAATAGGCAGACTGAACATATAACTGTAAATCTGGCAACTCTAGTCCTTCCCAAGTTGCCAGTGTTTTCATGAAATTTTTGCTGTGTATAAGACGAGCCCTATAAATATTTTAAACATCGAAAATGACAACTTTGATATTTTAGAGGTGACTTCTGAGGAGAACAACACACATCTGATTCTCATGCCTCCCCTGTGCTACAGTACTGTGATGTTAATGGCTCCGTAGTGCATGCTGGGAGACTACAGCCCCCACAATACAGCAGGCGGTGTGAGGGCATGCTGGAAGACTACAGCCCCCACAATACAGAAGGAGGTGTGAGGACGTGCTGGGAGACTACAGCTCCCACAACACAGCAGGCGGTGTGAGGGCTTGCTGGGAGACTACAGCTCCCACAACACAGCAGGCGGTGTGAGGGCATGCTGGGAGACTACAGCTCCCACAATACAGCAGGCGGTGTGAGGGCATGCTGGGAGCAGAGGCGGCTCTAGACTTTATGAGGCCTTAGGCGAAACTCAAACATGAGGCCCCACTAACAAAAAAGTGTCACATATACACATTGAGGCACTGTCTACCTGTGTATGTGCCTGAGAGTGTCTGACAGAGAGTATCCTTGTGTGTGAATGTATGTCTCTGTGAGCATGTTTGCGTTTTTGTCTGAGACCGTATGTGTATGTGGTAGCTGCTTGAAGTGTGTTGTGTGTATGGGGGGGTGATGGTGAGAGGGAGAGGGGGGAGGGGGGCAGGTGAGGGGAGGGGGGTAGCCGTGGAGAGGGAGATGGGGGTAGCTGAGAGGAGAGGGGGGGGATGTGAGAGGGAGGAGGGGGGATGGGAGAGGAGGGGGGTGATGTGAGAAGGAGAGGGGGTTGAGGGTGAGCCAGGGGGTTGATGGTGAGGAGGGGTGATGCTGAGGGGGGTGAGGCTGAGGGGGGGTGAGAGGGGGCTGAGGGTGGTGATGCTGAGGGCAGTGGGGGTTGATGAGGGTGGTGAGCCTGAGGACGGGGTGAGGCTGAGGGTGGTGGGGGGGGGTGGTGAGGTGAGGTGGGGGTGGTGAGGCTGAGGTGGTGGGGGGTGGTGGAGGCTGAGGGCAGGCTGGAGCGGTGGTGGGGAGTGGTGAGGCTGAGGGCTGTGAGGTGAGGCTGAGGGTGGTGGCAGTGAGGCTGAGGGTGGTGTGTGGGGGTGGCAGGCTAAGGGTGGTGGGGGGGTGGTGGAGTGAGCTGGGGTGGTGGGGAGGCTGAGAGTGGTGGCAGGAGGTCAGGGGAGGCTGAGGGCGGTGGTGAGGCAGGTGGGGGGAGGCTGAGGGTAGTGGTGGGGGTGGGAGGCTGAGGCGGTTGGGGAGTGGGGAGGCTGAGGTGGTGGGGGTGGTTAGCTGAGGGGGGGTGAGGGGTGCAGTGAGTGGGTGTGGCTGAGGTGGTGGGAGGGTGGCTGGAGGGTGGTAGGGGCGGTGGAGGCTGAGGGCTGTGGGAGGTGAGGCTGAGGGTGGTGGCAGGAGGGAGCTGGGGCAGTGGGGGAGGCTGAGAGGGTGGTGAGGCTGGTGGGGGGGTGGGGAGGCTGAGGGTGGTGGGGATGGTGAGGCTGAGGGTGGTGGGGAGTGGTGTGGCTGAGGGTGGTAGGGAGTGGTGAGGCTGAGGGTTGTGAGGTGAGGCTGAGGGTGGTGGTGAGGGAGTTGGGGTGGTGGGGAGACTGAAAGTGGTGGTGAGGCTGGTGGTGGTGAGGCAGGTGGGGGGATGGGGAGGCTGAGTGTGGTGGTGAGGGAGTTGGGGTGGTGGGGAGGCTGGTGGAGGGGTGGGGAGGCTGAGCAGAACCTACCTTTATTCCCTGGTGGTCCAGTGGGCTCCCTGGTGGTCCGGTGGCCACTGCTTCCGGTCTGCAGCTCCACAGAGCTGCAGACCGTGTAATCCTGCGAGACCATCAGAGCGTTGCCGTGGTAACCAGCAGCAACGCTCTGATTGGCCAATTCTCGCGAGACACATGGTCTGCAGCTCTGCTCACTGCGGTGGCTGGCCGGGCAGCCGCCGGGCCCCCTCCTGGTGTCAGGTCCTCGGTCACTGACTGAGGACCCGACACCGTCTGCCCACTGGTGGTTTAGGCGGCCGCGAGGCCCCAGCCAGTGCGAGGCCTTAGGCGGCCGCCTAATTAGAGAGCCGCCTCTGACTGGGAGACTACAGCTCCCACAATACAGCAGGCGGTGTGAGGGCATGCTGGGAGACTACAGCTCCCACAATACAGCAGGCGATGTGAGGGCGTGCTGGGAGACTACAGCTCCCACAATACAGCAGGCGGTGTGAGGGCGTGCTGGGAGACTACAGCTCCCACAATACAGCAGGCGGTGTGAGGACGTGCTGGGAGACTACAGCTCCCACAATACAGCAGGCGGTGTGAGGGCGTGCTGGGAGACTACAGCTCCCACAATACAGCAGGCGGTGTGAGGGCGTGCTGGGAGACTACAGCTCCCACAATACAGCAGGCGGTGTGAGGGCGTGCTGGGAGACTACAGCTCCCACAATACAGCAGGCGGTGTGAGGACGTGCTGGGAGACTACAGCTCCCACAATACAGCAGGCGGTGTGAGGGCGTGCTGGGAGACTACAGCTCCCACAATACAGCAGGCGGTGTGAGGGCGTGCTGGGAGACTACAGCTCCCACAACACAGCATATATGTCCTGCCTATTTAGTATTTGAAGTGCTAGACAGCCCTGTGACCAAATATTTAGGCTGACTTGTTATGCTGAAATTATTAAATGATTACGTCAAGCGCCATGGAGTGGTCATGGTGCCTGGAGTCTTTATGTGCAACAGAGTTTAACCCGTTTGCTTCCAGAGGTGTAACTCCCTTTCCGGCAGGGTCATCGGGTTGTCATTAGCCAGTTGGGAACGATAGTACTTGTCTGAGCAATATCTATTCTGTGCTTATTGGATGTTTGTCATCAGTACAGCAATCTGACGACAAGCATCATGCCTTTGGGGGACCAGGATAATGAAGGGTTACTGTAACCAAAACTTGTATTTTCTGAAAAGGCAGGCTTTTACTTGGAGTAACATTTAAGTTGTCGTATATAAGGGGTTAAAAGAAAAGTCTGTTTACCATTAGAAGATTCTATCTTGAATGCCGGTCACAGTCGTATTTTTATATGATAACCTGTTGTGTGATGTTATATCTAGAGTTGGCACTGTATGCATACAATTATGTCATGCAATTAAGCTGGGAGTCGCTTGGCATGGGATTGCTCAGCATGCATTTAAAGTTTGACTGTCTCAGCTGTAAGATGACTGAGCACTTCCGCTGGAAAGAGAACACACCTCTTACTACACCTGTTAGACGTGGGAGGACTAGGAGGGGTGGAGGAGGCAA